GGAGAGTCTTCTGGCTTTGGTCAACATGGTTCAGGATCAGGTCAGTCTTCCAGCTGTGGTCACCATGGGTCTGGTTCAGGTCAATCTTCTAGCTATAGTGGATATAAGTCTGGCTCAGGTCAGTCTCCTAGCCATAGCAGACATGGGTCTACATCCAGTCAGTCTTCAAGATGCAGCCAACAGAGGTCTGGATCAAATCAGTCTTCTGCCTTTGGGCAACATGAGTTTGGCTCAGGTCAGTCTTCTGGCTTTGGTCAACATGGGTCTGGCTTAGGTCAGTCCTCTAGTTATGGACAACATAGTTCTTCATCAAGACAGTCATGCTGGGGTCAGCATGGATCCAGCTCGGGCCAGTCTTCCAGCAATGGTCAGCATGGATCTGAATTGAATCAGTCTTCTAGCCAAAGTCAACATGGGTCTTGTTCAAGAGAAACTTCTGGGTTTAGTCAACATGAGTCTGTTCCAGGAAGGTCATCTGGCTATAGTCAGTGTGGTTCTGGCTTAGGTCAATATTCTGGCTATGGACAACATAGCTCAACATCAGGACAGTCATCATGTTCTGGTCAACATGGATCCAGCTCAGGCCAGTCTTCCAGCTATGGTCAACATGGATGTGGTACAAGTCAGTCTTCTAATGATGGCCAGTATGGATCTGCTTCAAGTCATTGTTCTAGCCATAGCCAACACGAGTATCCCTCAGGTATGCCTGAACACTCTGAGTCTTGTTCATGTCCTTCATCTACCTCTGGACAATATTGTTCTGGGTCTGGTTATTGTTCTAACTCTCAACAATATGGGTCTGGCTCATGTTACCCATCTAGTTCTGGATCATGTGGCTCTGGACCTAGTCAGTGTTCTAGTTTTGAGCAAGGGAGATGTGGAAACCAGTGGGAATCTAGCTATAGCCATTCAAATTGTAATGAAGGGCAATGGAGAAGTGGTTATAGACAAGTAGAAAGCTCCTCAGGCTGTGCCTCTGAACAATTTACACCCTCTTGTGGACAGTCTAGATCCAATACTATCAATAAATTGTCATTTTGTAATGAAGATCACAGACAAAGTGGCTATTCTGACCAGAAAGGAAGAGGTGGAAGTATAGGCTCCAGATCCTATAGTTTCAATAGTAGCACTCCACTCTATCAATATGTTCAACAGCAGAGGTGCTAAATCTAGGGCTGAATAGTAAATACAAGTGAAATTAACTCAAATAGCAATTTTTAAAATTAGAAACTCTTACAGAGAAGCAAGTTGTCATAAAAACTTTCTTAAAGTGAATATATCTGTTTCTATCCTTTTCTTTTAAACCTGTAACTGTATTCTACTATTTATTACTGGGTCCCTTCCCAAAAATGTAGGGTGTTTGGGCTACTTTCTTAGGAAATACTGAGTTAAATAAATGACTAGTATGGGGTTAGATTTGGAAAAATAATTCAAAGAGCTTGGATTTTAGCTAAGGTATCTTTTTGACAGCTCATCATTTAATCAGAGATAATGTCAAAGCTGTGTGTGGTTTTAAAAAATAATAAATCAAGGGGCCGGGGATTTAGCTCAGTGGTTCTGCCACCTGCCTTGCAAGCGGAAGGATCCGAGTTCGATCCCTGGTACCAAAAAATAAATAAATAAATAAATAAATAAATAAATAAATAAATAAAATAAATCATTCTAAATGTATTACCAGTACTAAAGCTAAAGCTTTCTCTAACACCTACATGTACTCAAATTTTTGGTGTATCCTATATAGAATAGTAGCAAAAAGGAAAAGCCCTAAAAGAAAAGATGCAGCACAGGTTGCTTATAAAATCCACTAAGCCCCGATTCTTGACCACATCATCCGTTAGGTAGCTAACTTATGAAGAGTTGCTTCATATGCTTCTCCTTGACCAAGAAAGAGCATAAATTTCTTAAAGAGTGGGGTTGGATCAGTTCAGGATCAAAGGATCCAAATGTGGGCTTTAACCTGATTCAACAAGAAAAAGCTCCTATTTCTAAGAAGCTGGCTCCAGATTAGAAAACTTCAAGGTGCTTAGCATAGAAATGCAATAACTCCTGTGGTTTACTGGTCTTTCCACATAGGGGAATATCCATACCCAGATGGAAAGAAAGACTATAGTTCCTTGATTTGACTGTAATGAATTTGTTTCAAGTGTTTGGATTCAAATAATTGCATTGCACTAAAATTGGCAATAAGTAAATGGTGATCAAACATACTGTGTTTTGTCTCCTTTCTGCTTCATTTCATTTCTCTTACACAGGTGGTCAAACTAGAATTCAATACAAATAGCTATTTCCCAAGGTCCTATTCTTCACAAACAACCCAGATTGTACAGAGTTTTTAAACTTTATTTAATAAGACAATTTAATTTGAAAATGGGCAAAATTTAATGACATTGCTCTTGCCCATGATCTTTTAGATCTGACACAGGCACCAAAAACCAAAAAACAAATAGGTGAGACTACATAAACTAAATGAATAAATGAGATTACATCAAACTGAAATAAATAAATAAATAAATAAATAGATCTAAACTGAGTGAAATAAACCAGTCACAGAAAGACATTTACTACATGATCTCACTTATAAGCATAATCTTAGACGGTCAAACTCACAGAAACAAGAGTGAAAAGGGGGTTGCCATGCATCAGGGGAGTAGGGGAAATGGAGATGTTGCTCTCAGTTACAAGATAAATAAGTTCTGGAGAACTTACAGCATCATGATGGTAGTGAACAATAAATGTATTTTATCTAGAAATCAGCTAAAGAAAAGATTTTTTCCTCGCTTTATTTTTTTATTTTATGAAAAAATAAAACAAAATTTCATAACAAAATAATAAAATAACAACAGTTAATATATCATTATCTTCAAAGTAGTTACTCAGAGTACAAGGCATAAGCCAAAAAGATTCTTACAAAAAAATAAACAAACAGATAATTACACAAAACTTTCTTTTGAATGATGTAAGATAAATGAGTAGTATAAATGAAACAAATTAGCATATATATTAAAATATTTTTGAAATAACAAAATATGTAATTTGGGGAACTATTTGAACTTCTCCTTCCTTTCTACTTATCTCTCTTCTATTTTGCTCTTTATTTTTATAGTTATATATATTTTGTGTTTCTCATTTAAGAGAAACCATGCAATATTTGAGCTTTTGAGTCTGATTTATTTCACTTAACATTTTATTCTCAAGTTGCATCCATTTACCTATGGATGCCTCAAGTTTATCTTTCTTTAGAGCAGCACAGTTTTCCACTGTGTATAAATAATACCATTGTAAACTAGTACAACCACTGTGGAAATCAACATGGAGATCCCTCAAAAAAAACTAAAAGGAGAAATTCCATTTGATCCAGCTATCCACTTTCTAAGTATTTTCCCAAAAGAGTTAACAATCATCATATTACAGGGATACAAGCATGCTCATGTTTATAGTAGTACAATTTATAATAGTGAGATCTTGAAAACAGCATATATGTCCAACAACAGATGAATGTACAAGAATAAATCTTAAATGTTCTGACTATATCAAAAAATGGCAACTATGAGGGGACAGACATGCTAAATTAGCTTACCTGTGGTAATCATTTCAAAATGTATACATATAAAAACATTACATTGTTCATCTTAAACAGGTACAACATAACTTAAATGGTGTCCAGACAATTTATACCTCAATAAAACTGAAAAATTTTTAAATAGGCACGAGTTGAGTATTTGCAAAAGTAGATGTACAAATGGCCATTAAGCACATGAATAAACATGCAACACCATTATTCATCAGAGAAAATAAAGAGATATTATTACACACCCATTAGAATGACTAAATTAAAAACACTGACAATACCAAGTGCTGGTACTGCTGGGGGAAAATAAAATGATACAGCTACTCTGGAAAACAGTGTGGCAAGTTAAATAATTTTTTTGAAAATTACAAGAATTGAAATGATATTGCTTCTATTAATTTTAACAAAAAATAAAATTCAAAAGCTAGGAGTTCTTGAAGGAAGAATTTTCATACATGATTGCTTAATAGTAACTACCAGAAAACACTTTGACAGAACCACAACCTTACACAAAAAATATTTCTACAAAGACATCTGTCCAGCAACTGTCTGTTCAATCTCATACTAGTGCCACCCATGTTACTAATCCTTTAAAATTTTCCCCTTGCCATAACTTCACTGAAGATGCCCATAGTTTGCTATGTATTCCTTTTACAACGCTCTGTTATCCCCCAAATAAACATTATTATTTTTAAAAAATCTCTCTCTCTCTGACTGGTATTTAGGATGACACTTTACTATATAACCAGAAGTTCTACTTCTAGATGAAATGAAAATA